CAGTAAAGGCCATCTCAACAAAACGAAACAATATCGTCTTCCACAGCGCGAGTTGGCATCGGAACGTAAGAGAAAGTCCTTGCGTGTATCGCCATATCGTCTTCTTCACTCGACGGCTTAAATCAGATTTCTGATGCATCGCTTGGAATAAAGTTGCTGTATCGGTTTGCCGATATAGGCGTTAAATCGATATGTCGCGATATATCGATTTATAGCCCAGTCCTAATTACAGTACAGGGAAAAAATGACAATAAATAAATAATATGAGATGTTCCATTAAAAAGCTGTGCTCTAAACAGTAATTGAAAAAAAAAGAAACTTTTCAATTCATATAAGTGTCGAAAAAATGACGAAATGGACTTATCTGAAGATTTTTTTCCTTAAAAAAAAAGTACAAAAACTTGTGATTCAGTATAAAGTAATCTAGTTTCAATTCTTCAAATTTCGTTTTTCCATTTGTCTTCTAGAAGGTAATTTTGCAAGCCATGTGCAGAAACATGGATTATAACACTTAACAAAGTTGTGCGAAAACTATTTCGTATAATAAACAATACTGTAATATAATTTAAAAAATGATTTTATATTATTCCTTATTATATCTATACAAATTCGAAAAAAAAAAACTTAAGAAAAATACTTTTCTAAAAAATACTCTGTCGAATATTTGCCCGATCTTTTAACCAACTGAATTGTGACAAAAGGACCAAATACTTGTTACATCCCCAATTTTAATGCAATGTTATTGCAGCCTGAGAAATTCATAAAGTGGCAGGAAACGTAAACTGTTCGCTGTTTGTAATTCTGATTTCAATTTTTTGTTGCTAAAGTGATCTTTTTCGGCTCACATCGGGTCGAACCTGATTTGATAACAATAACCGATTGATTACAATAAACGAAAAAAAAAATTAAGCTAAAAAATGATTTTTTTTCGTCTTTTAAACACTTAGATGTTGCAGTTTCACTATCCCCCTCCCCATTTTATTGTTTGACCAATAGCGATTCAGTAAGGGACCTGCCAATATCAAGTGGCATATCCGAAACAATGTTCTCTTTTGAAGGTCACCCCATAGCGGCTGGAACATATCATCTGTCACATTGTTTAGTTCTTCTGAAAAGGGTCTCGTGACAAACATTGACACGTTACTGGCAGGTCTTCTTTTCTCTTTATTTAGGATTTCCGGGAATTTGAAATCGTACAGTGCTGCGGAATTTTACAATGCTTGACCGAAAACGGCAAAATACCCCCCCCCCTCATAATAACACATGCTTAAAAGATAATATACCAGCCCCGTTTGGACTTTTGGTAAGTTTCAGGAAACACTTCACAAAACACAAAAAAAGTTTTCCTTCTTGTTTTTATTGATTTCAGGAAAATAAAATTTACCTATAAACTGAGAACAATAAACGAACATTTGATTACAATAAACGATGATTTTTCAATGTATTTTGATATAAGCGGACGGGACTAAGCGATTTTGATAACATTAAACGATTGATAACATTAACCGTGATCACATTAAGCGCCATCTACTGTATATATATAAATAATGCTTACTATATAAAAATCTAATAATCAATTGAAAGAAATAATAAATTGCATTTCTAAATAAGTATTAAATTTTATTTTGGACTATAATGGTTTTACTTTTTTTAAGACTCTTGTTTAAACTTTAGAAATTTTACAATATATAACTAATGCTTAAATAAATATTACTATATTTGCCGTCAACATGTCTAAATACACATGCAGCCCTTCGTTAGTTAGTCTGCTGTGAAAGTGGCCCTTCAGTCAGAAAGGTTGTGCACCTTAATACTTTGTACATTAAAAAGACAACCATAAGTTTAAAAATAAATAATAGCTGAATTTTGTGCTGTTACATAAAACTATTGAAATATATATTTCATATTACACATATAAAAATAAAAATTACAATTTAAAAGAATTAATATGGTAAATAAAAAATAAATAAATTTATATTTCTTATAAATGTAATTTACTTAATATNCTGTGCTACCGTAAAGTGCTCGACTTCGAGCGCAGGTCGTCGGGCTACCGAAGCGGGGGTGCCATCCCCTCTGCAGAGGATCAAAATTGAGATGGCATGTCTTCGGATTATCCTCCGGGATTTTTCCCCGACCGTCGCCAATAGCCCAATGTGCAGCTCCAGTGCGACGTAAATTAACAACAACAACAACAAGAAATATATATTTCATATTACACATAAAAAATTAAAATTACAATTTAAAAGAATTAATATGGTAAATAAAAAATAAATAAATTTATATTTCTTATAAATGTAATTTACTTAATATTTTATAATCTAAACTTAATAATTCTAATCAAAGTTTTTTCTAATTTTAAATGCAGCTAAATATTTAAACTAAAATAAACAGATCAATTTATGAATGACCCCTCAGATTACCATTTTGAAATTTTTATAACAAATATATTGTTAGTGTGATCAAAGTAATTTTAAATAAACAGTACAAAGAGATTAATTTAGAGTGTTAAAACAAAATCCCAATCGTGCTAGATGTGTTTTCTTCTTCAAAAACAGTTAAGTAGTTGACCCATAATTCACCCTTAAAGTGGGAAATTTTATTTATCAAGTTTATATATATATATATATATATATATATATATATATTCAAAAAAAAATTCAAGAGTATTCAAAATGCAGAAACAACAATTAGGATAAATTATATCACATAGGGGAGAGTTGGATAAAACGGGATAGTCGGACAAAACGGGATACGTCGCATAGGGACCAAACTATTGCAGCTATCTAGTGGAAAAAGACAGAAACGTGTTATTCGACCGTGATTATGTCATTCTTGGTGCGTCCCGCCTCGAGATCGCTATTTCATAGAAAGTTGTAGATCTCAGAACTGTTTTACTCTATTTTTTTACCATTTTCTACATTTACGTGCGTTGTTTTTTACATTGTACTGCCTACATATATGGGAATAAAATTCCGGTGAGTATTAAATTTAATTAACCATTTATTTACCAATATTTTTATGTGCAGTCTATCTAATTTTCTTTTCACATTTAGGCATCAGTCATGTTTGTTTCAAAAAGTGTCGGAGTCGGACAAAACGGGACACTTGTGAGTTGGATAAAGCGGGATAGAGTTTTTATGTCCCGTTTTATCCACCTATTTATTTGCTGGATTATTACATTTTAAAAAAGCCATATATTAATGTAGGCCTATTAATGTAGACCAACTTATTTATATTAGCTATATATATTTTTGAAAAATTCAGTCTCTTTACATAGTAATGCAAAATTTGTTTATTAACGTTCATTATTAAGCATTTTATTTTCGACTCTAGGATTTCACATCTTTCTTTAGAGCTAATTGTAATGTATTTCTCTGATGAAGACTTGAGCTTTTTTATATATATAAACAATATTATTTACATATTTGAATTTCATATTTATATATATGCAAAAAATTAAACATTGTAAACCCTATCCCGTTTTATCCAACCCAAGTATGCTAAAACGGGATATGTAAGAGTTTGGAAATTAATTTTTTTTTCTATTTCACAGTCATTAAAATTAGTTTAAAATATGTTTTTTGTGTGCTTCAATAAATGTTGTAGCTACAAAAAAAATAATGTATGGTTTACCTTAACAGATATTCCGTAGTAAATAAAAACAATAATGGTATCCCGTTTTATCCAACTCTCCCCTACTTCAATCCCTTTTGTACACTTAATGGATCGTCTATAAAGTTAAACCTATTAAATATTTGAAATTTTAGAATAATTAATTAAATCTTACAATGAAACTCTGTTGAGGAAAGAAAAATAAAGCAGAATTCTGAAGATGTCTTATGAAGAAATCTTATCTTTATTAAATCAAACAAATAAAAGATATACAAAACTTTCAAAGTGATGAAGATTAGTCAGAGTTAAATTTCTTAAACTCATAAATAAAATCAAAATTGGTGAATGATCTCCAGGTTCAATAATTGCGGTACTAATCTATGAAAGCAACAGTGCACTAACAATATCACTGACTTTCAATTGATGAATGATGAAGAGAGAGGATAATATAGAGTGCATCGCAATTATAGTGTAATTAAAACACTTCTTTAAAATTATCATTCAAAAGAGGACATAGAGGACTAAAACATTTAAAAGAGGACTAAAACAAACTTTACTCTAAAAATAGAACCTCAAGGGAAAAGAGAACCAATTGGAATCCCTGCACAGCAATTATTTTACTGCTTTTTCTCACTTTTCAGCATTCCTAAATTTATTGTGATACCGCTTTAAGAAATGCTAGTGTAAACCCTGGTTTTGCTAACACATCTGAGCAACAGGTTTTAATGCTTTTGTCACCTCAAACTCAAATTAATTCATTTTTTTCAAACTTTTTGAAGGTTTTAACTAAATTTCCCAATATTTAGATTTAAAAATCACCCTTTTCCCCTGTTCTAAAGGGTCATCTAGTAAATAAAAAGTGAAAAAAGTTTATAATTTTAAATACAAATTTCATGTTTATATCTATCATTAATTCTCGGATAACATAACTAAAACTTTTTGGGTTAAAAAAATAAATAAAAAAAGTGAGTTTTCAAAACTAATTTTCCTAAAATTCTAAACTCTGGAGAGAAAAAATGAGAGGCAAAAATGTGAACTTTATGGTTGAAAAAAATAAAAATTCTAATACATAAATTTGAATACATCAGTCTTAAATAATCAGAAAATTAAAAAAAAAGGAAACAAAAATCTTAATAAAGTTTTTCAATTAAAAAAATATAATAAAAAAAATTGAACACTGTAACATCTCTGGTAAACATCCACATTGAACATATAAGAATTTTTCTTTATCTAAAATATACTGGATTCACAAACACCCATCTCATTTTATTATGTATGTATAAGTGAATCAATACAATGTATTAGAATTCATTACAGTCATAAAAGTTATTAACTTAATTGTATACACCAATTGATACATTAAAATAATAGCTTAATTTTATACATTAATAATTTACTAAAATCGATTCTTACCTATATACACTCTCAAATTGAATTTGATGAAAGGAATCAATTTTCATTAGCAGTCCCTAAAAATTAAAAATTTAATAAGATAAAAATTTTAAGTTATATCTCACGAATAAACATAGCTATATAAAAATTCATTTGCGTTGCATTTTACCTGTTTGATTTTGAATATGTTACTTTTAAAGTCTTAAGCAATAGAAGAAGGGTTTAGAAATTTTTTTAATACAAAATAAGTATAAAATTTATGTATTTAATCAACACATTTTAAAACAACGTTTTAACTTGTATAAAATAGATACAAATATGCCTGTTGAAAGATGTTATATAATAAACTGAAACTTTTTTAGCACTTTTGAAAAAAATTATAGGAAAAAAGTTCATAATTATAAAAAAGTCACACGCAATATTCAAATATGATAATATGTGTTAAAAAAATGTGAGTGTCCGTTGTTTAACAAGTTGTTTGGTAAAGCATTAAATATACAAAAAAAAGTCAACAATTTGTATCAGTTTCACATTTAAGGGTGAAGTGTAACATGTTTCCTTGTGGTGCACCCTGGATAAAGTTAAATCTGTCACAGCCTTTGTTTATATCTTTCCCTACCTTCAGGCCCACTTGCACCATATTAAACTTGCTGATTCTCCTGACTGCAATTTGTATAAGGTTATTTCAAGACGCTCTCCACTCCGGGAGATACTTCTTATTTGTATTGGGCTGCAAGACTTCTCATGCTCAAAAGAGTACATTCGTTATTCAATAAAAGAAATTTATGTCAAAAGGTTAATTAAATTTGTTAATTGTTTTGATAAAATTTGTAACAAATGTAACAAGTGCCAAAATAGTAAACTAACAAATTGTGAATCTTAAATTGACTTTGCTTTTTTTACTTATGTATGATTTTTGCTAGTTGTAATGGGAAATAGGAAAATTATAACAATCATCTAATGCCAAAATGATCTTGCTTAGTTAATGTTCTTTTGCTACTAAATTTACTAAATATAATATATAGTTTCAAGACAAAATTTAATGCTTCACCTTGAATTTCAACACTGAATTGCTACTTCATGATTGAAAAAGTTAAGAGGATATCTGGCATAAACTAACATGTTTATTAAAATATTTTTCAATCGAGAGAACATGTACTTTAGATACAATAATGAACTTATAAGAACTAGAAAAGCCTATACAAATTTTGAACAAAGATGGCACATTAGTTATGGGTCTGCACTATGGTTACGATGAACTGGTGCTGTCTCCAATGAATCCCATACAGCTTCAAAACAATGAGAGTACCAGCTTATCTAGGATCTACAGAGGGATGGTGCCCAAGACTTTTCACATTACCAACATTATGCCCTAGGTTTCAAAACTATGAAAGCTTAATCTCTGTAAACTCTCTGCCAATAAAAAGACTGTCATAGACCTACATTGCTTTATACAATTTACTTTAAGTTATATAACAATTGCATAGATTCACTTCAAAAATTAAAAGCAAAACAATTCATCCATGATCAATTCAAATTCTGATATCTCTTTCTTATTTAAATAATCTGACAGGCTACTAAAATTAAAAATAAAATGAAGAAATAAAAATTAAAGTTACCTAAAAATGTTTAAGAAAGTGTCTATTTATTTAAATTGAAAGAAAGATATTAATAAATCAAGAAATCCATTATGGTATATGTTTACAAAAATATTTCTATTCACTTAATATGCAAGGAAAATCATACATTTCAGAGTTAGGTTGTTAAAAACAAAATTTATAAAGATTTTATTTTAAAATCAAATTGCTAATAAAAAAATTAACAAATATACCTTTTGCATATCATAATGGAGACCCCTAATGGCAAAACCTGGTTGATAGTCCAATTGTCTAATTTCTTGAGGATACTGCAAAAAATAAATTTTAAGAACATTTTTTTTTGTAAAAAAATAAATAAATGAATAACTATAATAAATACTTTCTATTACTTTCATAACAATCAAGAACAAATCCAAAATTTAATGACCATTTCATTTGTTTCAAATGCATAGATGAAAATGTAAAAGAGAGCCCTCTTATAATAATCATTATTTAATGAAATTCTGGATTTAACAAAGAAAAGGAATTCTTATGTTTGGTACAATGTTGAAAATGTATAAACTCTTTTATCTTAATAACTCTTTTATCAAGCAATATTTTTTCACTTTTCTTTCCATTTTCTTGGATTAAATAAGAAAATTAATTTTGAAATTATAAAATAATCTCAGAAGTAATGTAAAAATTTTCAAAAATAAAACATACATAGTACATTATAACTATATCAGTAATAATGTAATCTGGTTTTACACAACACAATAATGGTAAAACAGTTTACAGTATCATTCATTACTCTCCAGTGACGATATCAAAGCAGAAGTGATATAACATAGAAAGCAAATACTCAGAAAAAAAAAAGACTACTATGGAGACTCGTATGTTTTTGGAAAAGCAGTACAGTGTCATTAAAAAATCTAGAGCAGTTTTTAAAGCTATAGAGCAAAGGATGAAATATTTAAGACATTGATAATTTTATGTCAAATTGTATCTAAAAACAAATAAAGATTACACATTTTTCTAACAGTTGATCTTCTGTCAATGTTTAAAAAATATGCTTACATTTTTTTCTACTGATTTACAAATTTTCCCGCTTTGTGTCCAACAAAAAAGGCAAACACGGGGTTCCATTGCACACATATATATATATATATATATTAAATTGAAAAAACAAAATTAAAACCAGCTATACAGATTTATGAATTAGATAGAAACAATTATTAAAGCAAAAGTTAAAACTAATCATAATCTGATTGAAACAAATATAAAATCATTAAAAAAGTAGAAACCATATTTACTTTAAACTTGTTTATTAGCCAATCTCTACCCAAATCATATATTAAATAGTGGAGTGATTCCTTGTATACAGCAAGGGTATAGTCATAATCAAAGCCATATACTTCAATATCTGACAAATCTAACTCGTTGTTAGCAAACACTCCAAGTGGGTTCACATCAGGTGGTGGTAAATCAGCTGAAAGAAAAAATAATTTTATTAAGTGATGTCACGCTAAAAATCACTTAATTAAAATTCTTCAGAAATCACTAATTTAAAAAGTATTACATATTAACTAGTAAAAAGTCAAGGACACGCAGACTAAAGCACTGCTTTAAAAAAATCTAAAATTTGTTAAAAAAAGTTAACAATCATGTTTGTTCTTTATAAAGTATAGGATGGTATTTCCTATAAGAAAAATAAAAAATCTTCTAAATTTTGTAGGGCACGGAAAAAGATTTGTAATGATTGCAAGTGTATCCTTAAGTTGTTAATATTTAAAAGTGGAAAAAACCAACATTTTCCAGAAAATTGATTTGCTTGATATATAAATGAAAAATTTCCCGAAGCTTCATAATTATCAAAATTGGTAAAATCCCTTAATACATTATATGCTTGGCAGAATTTTGGAAAATGTCACCAACACTGAAATGATGCCTTAGGGCCTATCATCATTGCATATCAAAGTTGGTGTACCTGGCAAATATATATCGGGTAGTGGCACTTCACATCTAAAAACAATCAGTGTAGGGTATGCGTATTGACAAAACATACCGTAGATTGTAAAGGGGTTGGCGAAAATAACTATCGGCGTTGAAGGAGCGTCTTGCAAATCGCCAAACAGCTGTGTGCTTATGTTTTTGTTTTGTTTTCGGTATCACGTATCTATCATTCACCAAGTTATATATGGGTGTCACATTTCAGATTTTCAAATAAGCTGATCTTCATTAGATTCTTCTGCATTAAATGAAATATAAAGCGTATTTTTTTGTTATAGCTCCGACATAATCGTTTGTATTTGTTAACATAATTGTGTTTATTAGCGTTTTTTAGAAGATCGTAATAAAACTAAGATAAAAAAAATTATATATTATTACCTCCATAGCCCCCTTCTGTATTTTCATAACTTTCATTAAATGTATACGCGTATTTCAAGTAGTGAACTTCTTTACCTACTCATCCACTTATTAAAATTAATTATTTCACAATAACCTCTAATCCTTANGTAGGGCACGGAAAAAGATTTGTAATGATTGCAAGTGTATCCTTAAGTTGTTAATATTTAAAAGTGGAAAAAACCAACATTTTCCAGAAAATTGATTTGCTTGATATATAAATGAAAAATTTCCCGAAGCTTCATAATTATCAAAATTGGTAAAATCCCTTAATACATTATATGCTTGGCAGAATTTTGGGAAAATGTCACCAACACTGAAATGATGCCTTAGCGCTTATCATCATTGCATATCAAAGTTGGTGTACCTGGCAAATGTATATCGGGTAGTGGCACTTCACATCTAAAAACAATCAGTGTAGGGTATACCAGATAAATGTACACTGGGCAGTGGCACTAAAAGAGAGGAAAATTAAAACTCAACTATTTAAAAAATAAATGTCTAGCAAAATCTGCAATTACAGATTCCAAACATTATTGCCTTCCCAAACATCGCCAATGTTGCCAAATCCACGTAATCCATGTAATTATTATTTAAACAGTAAGTTCATTTTTAAATGGAATGAGTATAAAGTCAGTTCTCTTAAGGGATGGCGGCTTATTTTTACAAAAAAGGCAATGAGGGTGCATTTATATGGATCAAAGCGCAGATGAGATGGTCCGACCTTCTAAAATTGTTTAGGAAGAACACTGGTCAATTTAACGAGATGCATAAGAAATCTATTAAGATGGATTAAATAATTGATTATGCTTCAGAAGATTTGACTTTAATTAAAATTGAAGCAAATAAAATTAGATTTCATCAAATTCTTGCAGTTAAGATGTGAAAGCTATTACAAACATAAGAAAGCATCATAGATTGGTTTATTGCATAACAGTGAGACTCTTTTTAAAGATTTGTAGGAAAGGATGAGAGTATAACATTTAGTTCTGAAATTAGATCCCATACACTGAATGATTTTCGAAATAGAGCAACAAGTCACCAAGATCATATAACTTGATATGTCTTAACATTATACATTAATAAAAAATTGAAACAACAACAAAGGTCAAGTTTGATTTCAAATTTTAGAATTGAATTACAGATATAAACATTTATGAAGCTTTCCAAGCATTGCACTCGCAGAGAAGATTAAAATAATTTATTTACCATTCTCTTATCTAAATATGACAATATGGGCATATTGTTAATAGTAAAAGCTGCAAAAGTTCTAAAGACTGAAATATTTTTAATAAAAAAAAAGATATGCACCATTTTTAAGAGGAAATAAAAATTAAATGCATATCATAATAAAGTACTTATCATGTAAGTAGGATAAAAAAAAATTCTGCTTTAAATTTTTTTTATTTTGCATTTTTATTTATTTAATTCAATTTTTATGTTTTTAAAAAATAAATGAAAAAATTTATAAAAAAAAACTGGCAAAGGTCTATATTTTTTTCACATTTTTTCTCTAGCACCCAGCTAAACAAAAAGTATCATACTACTTATAAATAGAAACCAAAATATGATTTTTGTTTAAACGAAAAGGAAAGAAAATAGAAATTGAAAACTAAAATAAAAAAAATCCATCAAAAGACTGTGAATCCTCCTCTACATACCTATTGTACACAGTAGAATTTAAGAGTAGTTGTGATTTACCTACTAAAACCTAACATATGTTTACTGATGTATGAGAGATTTAGGATTCTGTGCCAAAATGGTCACCAAGTTGGCAACAACAATGTAGTGGTAGCTTAGACACAGAAAAAAATATCACCAGATGGAACAAACTTGAGGAGTAAAATTTTTAGTTACCCTTTAAAGAAAGCCATTATATCTAAATATTTAAGAATTTAATATAGATTTATATTTAAAAAAATCATAATATTCATAAATTCACAAACCAGGGCTCATAATAAAAAAATTTAAGTTTTATATCAATGTCAAATTAAAATCTTTAAAACCTATACAACTTATTAACTGCCTGCAGTATAAACTTAAAAGACTTATGGTATCTACTTAACGATTAGCCAAGTGGTGACTGGTCATTATGATTTCTGTTCCCAAGAATCTGTCTAGGTTTTTCTGAGACGTACTCATTTTGTGAAAATTTAAGACATAATTTGTGAAAATTAAAAATTATATTAAAAATCAACAGAATATATGGTAAAAATATGGTTTTATCGTTTCTTACGGGATACAAAAATAAAACTTTTTCTTAAAGTATTTTGTGAAACTACTGTTTTTCCTGAAGTTGAATTTGTGAAGGTACTGCTAAACAGTAGTAAACTTGGCCTGCACAGACCCCTAGTTCCTATCTCATGCTGTTGTAAAACATCAGTGTAGACAGATCATGGGTTAGAATCCCCTTGCTGTCATGCTAACCGTGAGAGGTTTACCTCTCCATGTAACGCAAATTCGGATTAGTACTCCTCCGTGAAGGATAGTTTGTCCCAATGCTGGATCCAGGAGATCCTTTGTCTTCTAGGTTTGGTTTAAAATTAAAAGGCTACAGAGAGGAACATTAATACTAGTAAATTCAGAATTGGATCGGCTGTGGCTCTAAAATAGAATGAAAATATGTCTATGCATTTCAAAAAGTAATAATAAATAAATAATTAAAAAAGAATTTGGTGGAGGTGTAGGTACATTTTTTGGCGACTTTTTACTAGCGCCCAGCTAATCGAATAGTAGCTGATTTATTTACAACTTTATTCATGAAAAGTGTTTTTTAGACACAAAGAACTTTCTAATTACTAATTTATAAAAGGCAGGACCAATAAACAAACAATATTCTGCTGCATTCATATTTAACATTAATTTATTGATGACTTTCATACAGAATTTTCAAGCTACTTCGATAAAGGAAATTTTTCGCAATAAGTCACAAAATACGGATATTAAAAAGAATACCCTCATAAGCTTGTTTAGCAACATAGTACTTTTCCAACAAAGTATCCTTGTTTGCTTTATCACTGGAATTTCTGCTAGGAAGTAGGAAATTTAGACTGGGAACGCGATTAAAAATATTTTTAGCAGAATAGCATGTAGGCATGCTGCTTAAGGAAAAGCAGAACCGTATGAGCGGTCTGCAGAACATTGTGAACTATAAATAAGTGAATAATAGGGATCCTAATAGCTATTAAAGTAAAATTAGCTATATGTTTTCAGGTCCACAATATAAGTACAAGAGGACTGAAAACAGTAATTTAGTAAACAAAAAATTAAACGTTGCCAAATGATAGAGTAAATAGATGAAAAAAAATAATGGGGTTTCCCTGGCCGAGTAGTTTTATCATTCTCTCAAACTTTAAATGGAGCATTCTCACTGCATTATAATGCACGCTTGCGAGTATTTCACAATCAGTTTCGAAACATTCGCACACGTGTTGTACAGTGTAAATAGCACCAAACGCTGTGTATTATTCGCGATCGCAACACTTGAGTACGTCCTCTAACGGGAGCCTGAAAATATCGGGCATTAGCTCCACCATAACCTTTGGCAATGACGGACGATATTTTCTTAGCAGCAAATAAGAAGCAAAATTTGCATAAGGAAAAGGTAGAAGAACTTTAAAAAACTAACCAGAACATGTCAAACATTGAAACAGAATAGGCCAAGCACTTGAAGAACAATTTCTTTATAATTATGTTGTTGGTAATATTACTAACAACATAACATCCGAATTCAATGCTGTTACAGATGTGTGTATTACGGTAAAATAATTTTAACAAATATTAACAAAAAGCAAATATTTTTTCGAATGACTTTTAGGCAAAAATTAAACTCCAGCATCAAATATAAAAACAATTGAGGATATTTTGAAATTAAAAATTTGTTTAATTGAAAGTATTAAAAATATTTGTAACGAGTTAATCTCGAACACGAATTTGTGATATAAAAAAATATCACGAGTTACCCTTATGGCTAGAACGACAACAGTGAAATTGTGTATAAAAGCTCTAGCATGAAATTCTTAAATAAAATATGACTACTAGGCATCCACGTCTTCTGAGTTGGATTTAATGCCAGAGAGTAATAAAAGGCTAAAAATTTATAGCAGAGATTTTTTTTCCAAATCCAGTTCAATATAACACGGTGATATTTTAGTAGGACTTAAAATAGGACTTAAGTCCTATTCAGTAGGACTTAAAATAGGACTTAAATCCTATTTAGTAGGACTTAAAATAGGGCTTAAGTCCTATTTTTTTTTAAAAATGTCCCTCTGACATAAAGTCGTGTTGCACGATGGCTTGTCTTCACAGGGGACACGTCGATTGACGCTGGCGCATTCAATTGTCCAGACATNATGCATAAGTTTGTAATTGCAAGAAAAAAATAAAAAGAATAATCATAACAAAAAAAAAAGAAAAAAGAAGAGAAAAATTGAGAAAGTAATTTGTTTTTTTAAAAATTGTAATGCAATTTTTTTCTTCAGATTATTTAAACTAACAATTATTTAGAAATTGCTAGTTCATGCATTCTACCTATTTATTAAAGCTTATTTATTGTGCGTTATTTCGATACTCACTGTACCTTTAAAACTATAAGATTTGGTATAAAGCTTCGCATTTTATGAATTGCAAATATAAATAAAATAATTACAAGTAATAAAATAATCATAATTTTAAAATTATGATTATTTTATTACTTTCTATAATAATTATTATAGAAAGTAATAGAATTTATTTTTAAAATAATTATTATAAAAATTTTTATAAATGATAAAATAAATAAAAATAGAAAGTTACGAAATTTTTCAAAAAAATAAGAAAAAGGAAAAGTTTCAAATTAAATAACCCTTATTGATAATTATAGTTCGTTAAATCTAAAAGCTCTCGATAATATAATATAATTTCTAAAGTTTCATAATCTAGTGATGAAATTTCTGCATGAATCAACTACACATATGCGTAGTTGATATATATTTAATTATTTTTTATTTATTTATTTTATTTATTTACTTATATATATTTTTTTCAAATATATATTTGAAAAAAAATTAAAAGTGTGATTTTTAGCGAAGGTAATAAATAAAGATGTATTTTATTTGTAATCTGTTGTTTTTTATTTTAAGTAATCTGTTATTGTAATCTGTTATTTTTTACATTTTTCACAAACTGTTAGTAAATATACGTGAATCGATTCACTTAAAATAAATACAATGGATGGTGTTTTCTACACAGGGAACGCTGCAAGCTCGGTGCCGCCTTAATTTCCGGGTTACTGTTTCCGTTATCTTTTAAAGCCATTTGGCATCATTGTGTTTTGAGATTCTTGCAAACAATGTATTTGATTACTTATTACTTGTGTTTACAATGCTAACAATACTTGTGTTTACAATGCTAAAAGTGTTAACACTAAGATGGTGAACAGCCTAAAACAAGAACAAACAGTAATAAACTTATGGAAAGAGGCCAAATCAAGACTGCCAAAAAAAAGCGAGTTATTCAAAATCTAGCAACCATGTTTTTAACAATATATCTCTAAATAACTAAAACAAATATTCACTTCAAACTCCCCAAAATTACATAATAACATTAATATCTTATGATATACGGCAGATTTAAGATCTGAAATTATCTAATTTATTTCTTTTATTGAAAACAAAATTATCCGTTTGAAAATATCGCCTCGCACAATAACATGCAGTAAGCAGCTGCAAACTTTCTAACCGGAACTAGATCAGGCATACAGCTCGAGATTATTATTGTTTACATTTCTACTGAAAACACCATCCATAATGCAAGCAAATTTAAAACAAATACTACATATTAAATTCTCGAAGAAAGATTGAAATAAATAGATATTTTATTTTCAGACTACATAATTGGGTATAATATGAAAAAAACACAACTACTTCGATTTAGTAGGAACAACATATGACGCAATGCTAAACGAATGGAATTTAGTTGTTGTTTATTTAGTTGTTGTTTATTTAGTTATTGTTATTAGTAGTTGTTGTTATTTGTTTTAGTTGTTGTTGTTTATTTAGTTGTATTTAGTTTCAATAACTTTTCTTTATAATGCAATAAAATCTGGCAAGCAGCTATTTAAACGATCGAACACTTCGTTTGTTTATTTGTGGCTTGAAGTTAGGCTCGCAGAAAATGCCGTTCATGGGTTAAATTTAGTAGGAACAACACAACCTGTGACGTAGGCTATATTATACCCAATTGTCAAAATGAAAGGAGAATTCATCCTCTTTCAGAAACAAGGCTGTGTACTCTGTGAAAGAGGTCCCGACCGCATAGCGAGGGGAAAACGATTAAAGGATAAACAATAGCCATTGGTCACTTTCTTATAACTTTCGATACACAACGTCACTTGCTAGGGGGAGGGTTCAATCCTTTGTTCGAGGGCTGGGATTCCCTTCACTGCTTTCGAAAGCAGTGTAGGGAATCCCAACCCCCGACGATCGTCGGGGGTTTCGAGTTTAGGATTTTCTTTTACTAACGGACGGGAGTATAGAAGAGACTCGGCGGAATAGTGACGTCACCGTCCACGTTCGAAGGCTGCAAGTTTAAGGGTCCTGGAGATCCTGCGGATGGCATTTACCCTCCACGACTTGCCAGTGCAGCAAGGTCAAAGTGGCCACCTACCGCAGCTGGTGCCATTCAGCCGTGACCCCTTCAAATTTTTTTAAAAAAAACGCCTAAGTGAGGAGGAGCGGTCCTAAAGCTTCGATTCTCACTGCACTGTCGTGATGCAGTGTTTTGTGTGCGTTTGAAATGTGTTAGGATGAAAAGAACCCCATGCCCAACATTGTTCAGCAAAAATGTAAGAAAAAAAACTGGGCCTCCGCAGAAGCCATTTCAAAAAAAGATTCAATGTGTGTGCGCAAGAGGTAAACACCCAAACCATCAAGGTTGGCTTCATGCGTGTTTCAAAAAAAAAGAAAAAAAAGAAAAAGAAAAAAGGTACAATTGTACCTTTTTTCTTTTTCTTTTAGTAGGACTTAAAATAGGACTTAAGTCCTATTTAGTAGGACTTAAAATAGGGCTTAAGTCCTATTTTTTTAAAAAAATGTCCCTCTGACATAAAGTCGTGTTGCACGATGGCTTGTCTTCACAGGGGACACGTCGATTGACGCTGGCGCATTCAATTGTCCAGACATTGCTGATGAAACGTGCTGGCGATTCGTTCGATGAGGGATGTCAACCATCGCCTCCAAGCAAATCGAGTAGGTGTCGGGAGGGATGTAATACTGCTGTTCGAATGGTACCGTGAAGAGGCAATTGCGTATTTCGCTTGCCAGGCGACACACCAATGCTTCTGTCACATAATCTTTCGAAAACCAGTCGGCCACAATCCTTCGCAGCCATTTCATGCCAAATGTATTAAAGGTCCGGTAAGCAGTTTGCGAGATGAATTGGATGCAAAGGTCATTGACTCAAGGACATTCTGATGATGAACCGAGAGCGTCGAGATTTGCCTCAAACGCTCAGCTTAAAAAAATATATACATATATGTTTTTTTATGATGCCAAGAAAGCAGACACCAAAAGTTGCATTTCAAAAAAATTAAATTTCGACTAGTCAAAATTTTTGCTCGACCCAACTCACCAGCCGAGAGAAAAAAAGTTTTTCTTTGTAACAAAGTTTAAGAAATAAGTAACCTGTTGTTTTCTGACATCCATTTTCTAATCATATCTCTTTATGAAGCATAGATAAAATCATGTGAATTACGTGAAATATTGTGTTAAAAGATGAAATAATAAAAAGCCCCTGTCCCACCCAAATCTACGAGCCACCCCCAAGGATTTCAGAGCCTCCCCAACTCCATGGATGTCCATGCATCCCAACCTCTTTCACAGCTCTTCCGTGTTTCACAAAGCCAGGTTTTTTCAAAAAATGTTACACGATTCCAGAGCAGATCGCCTTTCATCGCTTTTTCAAAGCAACGCTTTTCCAATGGATGTGGCAGCAGCCCATGGGTCCATGTTTCCTGATGCCATGCGATGCCAGTCAAAACAGGATTCGACAAAAATCGCCCACTTTTTCAAATGTCAAAAGTACCGCCCAATCCCCCCTTCACCTGTCCCATGGACATCCAAGCCGTTTTCCAATGGGTCCAGATCACTCGATTTTCTGAGGCCATTTAAAAACAGGGTCCACCTTTCTAAATGTCAAAGCCTTCCGACGCCTTAGCGTTGCGATGAGCCTAAGCCTCGACAGGCTGCTTCCACCACTGGCTCAAACATTTGAAAACGTGACTCGGGGCTTTGAAATCGACAGTATCGTACACTTCGCTTGAAAACAAGATTTAAAAAAAGGAAACAGTGGTCGATATTCTGAAGTTTAAGAATTTAGTTTTTTATTTCAACG